GTAGAGACGGGGTTTCACCATGTTGACCAGGATGGTCTCGATCTCTTGACCTCGTGATCCACCCGCCTCGGCCTCCCAAAGTGCTGGGATTACAGGCTTGAGCCACCGCGCCCGGCCTCTGATAATGAAATTTTACAGCATGAAAAGAATTGGTGAGTGGGAGCGCCTATCTATTGGGCATTTATCTCTTCACAATAACTCTTTGTGGTGGGTGCTTTTTTCCCATTTTATATAAGACAGGAGATGTGGCTGGTTGCGGTGGCTCACGCCTGTAATCCCAGCACTTCGGGAGGCTGAGGCACGCAGAATCCCCGAGGTCAGGAGTTCGAGACAAGTCTGGCCAACATGGCGAAACCCCGTCCCTACTAAAAATAAAAAAATTAGCCGGAGATGGTGGCACATGCCTGTAATCCCAGCTACTCAGGAAGCTGAGGTGGGAGAATTGCTTGAACCCAGGAGGCAGAGGTTGTAATGAGCCGAAATTACGTCACTGCACTCCAGGCTTGGCGACATAGCGAGACTCTGTCTCAATAAAAAAATAATAAAGAGGAGAGATCCGAGAAGCTTATTTTCCTTGCTAAAGTGATGAGTTAGAAGGCCTGACTTCAAAGCTTATCTACTTTATGGCTGCTTTCCAGGACGCTGGAAGGGAAAGAGATAATTTTATTGCAAGAAATGAGATTGGCCATAAATTAATTTCCCAGTCTGTGTTTGATTTGCTTTAATAATGTCATGATATATTCTGGAGATCAGGATACCTTGTGGAGTTACATTAATCAGTGCTGTTGCAGAGTCATCCAACACTACAAAGTACTTCTAAAAGAAAACCTATTATAATTATAAACAGTAATGGAGATTTATTAGAAGCCTGCCTGTAAAGGTAGACTTTTATGCTTTATGAGAATTTATAAAGATTAGTATAAATTGGCATAGGATCTTTCTAGAATAATGTTATCTCAAATTTTGTGTAATAGATTGTCAGAGTCTTGCTCTGTCGTCCAGACTGGAGTGCAGTGGGCTGATCTCGGCTCACTATAACCTCTACCTCCCAGACTCATGCAGTTCTTTGCCTCAGACTTCCGAGTAGCCAGGATTACAGGCACCCACCACCACGCCCAGCTAATTTTTTGTATTTTTAGTAGGGACGGGGTTTCACCATCTTGGCCAGGCTGTCTTGAACTCCTGACCTTGTGATCTACCCTTCTTGGCCTCCCAAAGTGCTGGGATTACAGACGTGAGCCATGGCGCCCGGCCGAGATAGTCTGTTTTATGTAACATTTTTGGATTTTATGAATGTAGTTCTGTGAAAGGTATTTCCTTAGGCAGAAATAAGTGAAATGTCATTAAGCAAAGTATGTGTTAATGGTGACATTGGGGAGATCCTTTGTGTTACATTTCCACTTTTAAGGATTCTAACACTTAGCTAGGCAGAGGCAGGAGGATGGCTTGGGTCCAGGAGTTTGAGACCTTCCTCGGCAATATAGTGAGACCCCATTCTCAAAAAATAAAAAATAAAAAAATTAAAGGATTTGAGTTTTATTTTGGTTAGTCTCAGCTTGTAAGGAAAATGTTGTATGTGACTTAAAGGAAAGTTATTTTTGTCAGCTTAAAAGTAGAAAATGAGTCAGAATCTGTGATATGTATAAATGTTTAACCTTTTTATTTTGTAAAAAAAAATGTTTAACCTTTTTTTGAAGGTATTTTAAATACCCACAGATGATAGAATAATCGAGTTTCTTGACTTTTATTAATATAATTAAATTAATTTTATTAATTTTTTTATTAGTGTCAGGGAAAAGTGGCATGTTTGTTTAATCCTGTAGGCATTTCATACATTTTTGTGTTACCTTAACTAGATTCTGAGCCCTTTTACATTTTCAGTTCAGTTTAGAATAGTGATACACTGTTGTTTAGATACCCACCTTGGGAAGGGCTGTGTTGAGATCCCACAATCTGTGTCATTACTAGCCTCTTGTTCATCTCTCGCTGTCTGCTGTCTCCTCTCCCTTCCTTCCCAGTTATACTCTTGGTTACTTTTAAGGGCAGGAGAAGGGCAGACATTCTGGAATTAGATCAGGACTCAGAATGCCCCTAATGATGGTATCATTTGCTGGAAGCCAAAGACCCAACATCAGAGCCTTGACTTCAATGAGGTCAACATTAAACCTTGACAAATGGGTTAGTCAGATCCCCTGGGTGGCTGAGGCTAGCAGAGGCATCAGTCTAAGGAAAAGAGGGGCTAGTAAGCAGTCAACTACACAGCCGTTTTAAAATTTATTGTTCCTGCTAAAAAAAAAAAAAAAAAAAAATACTTCCATGAGAACCAAGGGCTTTTTTACATAGAACACATACTGAAAAATCAGAAAGCAGTAGCTAAGCCAAAAGAAGAACCTTCCAGGGATGAGCTGCCTTCCTTGCCTCCACAACAGCAGCTAGACTGGACCTCTGGACAACACAGCAAGTGTGACAATCACACTTCCTAGATCAGGACCAAGGGTAGGAGTCCACCAGGCTCAGCTTACAGGCCCTAAGTAATCATCCATCAGGGAGCCAATAGCAAAAATGTCATTCTTGTCCACACGGGTCCCCACAATCTTTAAGTGGATCTCGTCGTCCTGCTGAATGACAATATCCTCATCCATTGTCTTATAGCATGGTGGGTTGGAGTTAGGCTCAAACTCCATCTCTGAAGGGATGGAATGTCGAGAGATGAAGCAAGACATAGGCCCAATTTCTGTGAAGAGTCCAACCTTGTTGACCTGAGTGACAATAACATCCACGACTTCTCCTTTAAAGGGCCGGAAAACAATGGGCTTGTGCTTAACTGGATGAAGGACAAATCCTCGGCCTGGCTGGATCGTACCAGCACCAATATTGTCAGTGGTGGTTACAGTGATTACAAAGGCATACTTTCTGGTGTATGTCCCCTCCACCTCGGTGACGAGCTTCTGCTTCACCGTGTTGAGCAAGTTGGGGCCGAAGTAGCGTGGGTGCAGCAGGATCTCATGCTCTAGGGAGATATGGTAGAAAATCTTCCCAGAGCAGTCTGGGAGGCTAAGTCCACACCTCCGGCTGCCCCTGGGAATCCCTAATTTTATTAATTTAATAGAATTAAAAAGTCCATTTGTGAATTTGGGATTCTTTGATTTGCTTGCAAAAAATGAAAGCATAGGGAGATTGTGTGGCTTATGCCTATGATCCCAGCATGAGAGAGGCCAAGGTGGGTGGATCCTTGGAGGCCAGGAGTTTAAGATCAGCCTGGCCAACATGGTGAAACTTTGTCTCTACCAAAAAAAAAAAAAAAACCCACACAAATTAGCTGGGCATGGTGGTGTGTATCTGTAGTGCCCGCTACTTGAGAGGCTGAGGTGGGAAGATTGCTTGAGCCTAGGAGATCGAGGCTGCTGTGAGCCATGATAATGCCACCGCACTCCAGTCTAGGCGGCAGGGTGAGACACTGTCTCCAAAAAAAAGGAAAGAAAAAGAAAGCATATAGAAATGAAGATTCTTTTTGTCTTTTTTTTTTTTTTTTTGAGACAGGGTCTTGCTGTGTTGCCCAGGCTCAGGCTGAAATGCAGTGGTGCAACCATGGCTTACAGCAGCGTCAACCTCCCCGGCGCCAGCGATCTTCCCACCTCAGGCTCCTGAGTATTTGGGATGACGGGAACATGCCACTGTGCCTGGCTAGATTTTTTGGTTTTTAGTAGAAACAAGGTCTAGCTATGTTTCCCAGGCTGCTCTTGAACGCCTAAGCTCAAACAATCCTCCTGCCTTGGCCTCCCAAAATGCTGAGATTACAGGCATGAGCCACCATACCCAATTAAAGTGAAGATTAAATAAGGGGACATGAATGTCCCTGTCAGAGGACAGTATCACTGATCTAGACAACCTTTCTGCTCTCTGTTACTAGTTAATCATGTCAAAAATGTGTCTGAGATCTTTGGTTCCTAGCCACCCAACCAGAAGATGGCGCGAGCACAGCCTGGATTAATGATTTTGTAGTTGGACTCGCCAGAGTTCCAGGTATAACTTTTTTATAGTAGTGGTAGAACCTATCCAAGCTTCAGGTTTCTCATCTTCAAATGGAACTATTATTTCATCCCTCATAACATTGACTTAGAAATTAAATGAAATAACACAGGAAATGTTTACTGCTGTGCCTGTTAAATAACAGGTGCTTTGTAAATGCTTGCTGTTGTCCTGCCCTTCCCAATCTTCCCCAGACTATAAATAGTTTCACGTGCTGGACAAATCTTACTCATTTTTGTGCTGTGTGGATGCGCAGGACCTACCTGATTACCCTACACCCAGGTGGGGACTTCATTGTCCCTACAAGTTATTTATCTTCAATCTCTAGGGAAATGAAAAATCACTCTCCTTTAACTAAAGGTTAGTCACTAACTATACAATTCAGCATCCTCTGGGTGTTCAGGTAAGCCTGAATTTAAGTCCCAGGAATGAGCCAGATTCCTAGGATGGCTCTGAATTATCTTGGCTTCCTTGAATGCCTCTGGCTAAAAACCAAGCTAGGATTATTGATGTGATTGTGAATCTGGCCCATGTCCCAGGAATGTGGATTCTGCTGCATATGTCAATTGGTTTGGCTCTTTTTTATTTATTTATTTTTTTGAGATGGAGTTTCGCTCTTGTCGCCCAGGCTGGAGTGCAATGTGCGATCTTGGCTCACTCCAACTTCTGCCTCCCAGATTCAACCAGTTCTCTCACCTGAGCCCCCTGAGTAGCTGGGGTTACAGGTGCCCGCCACCATGCCCAGCAAATTTTTGTTTTTTTGGTAGAGGTGGGATTTCACCATGTTGGCCAGGCTGGTCTTGAACTCCTGACCTTAGGTGATCCACCTGCCTTGGCCTGCTAAAGTGCTGGGATTACAGGTGTGAGCCACCGTGCCCAGCCAGTTTGGCTCTTTTTATCCGAAATTTTTGGTTCAAATGGAAATCTTTGCTCTGTAGTACTGAAATCCTCTGAAATTAGAAGAAAAAAAGTTATTCAAGACAGAATATTTTTGCAGTGTGGGGAGACCTTAAGCTTTTTACGTAAGCTTTTAAAGCTGTAAAAGGAACTATGCTGTTTTACCCCCAAAGTTGCCCACTTTTAACCTTCAGGAGAAACATTTTGGTCTCCTTTATGTTCTAGTTTCTGGATACAAATCCTTCATTTGTTCGTTTTTCCACCTATTACCAACCACAAGTTATTAGGCTCCTGTGTAATAGAAATTGATACAAGGCCAAGCAAGTTTCCCAGACCAGGATATATTAAAACTTATGGGCTGGGTGAAGTGGCTGTAATCCCAGCACTTTGGGAGGCCGAAGTGGGTGCATCACCTGTGTTCTGGAGTTTGAGACCAGCCTGGCCAACATGGTGGAACCTCATCTCTACCAAAAATACAAAAAATTAGCTGGGCGTGTGGTGGTCACCTGTAATCCCAGCTACTCAAGTGGCTGAGGCAGGAGAATCACTTGAACCTGATGGGGACAGAGGTTACAGTGAGCCGAGATCGCGCCATTGTACTGCAGCCTGGGCAACGAGCAAAACCTCATCTCAAAAAAAAAAA